CCCCCCCCCCCATCTTTTTCTTAAGTAATTTCTGTATCCAATCTGGAGCTCAAACTCAAAACCCTAAGATCAAGAGTCCCATGCCCTACTGGCTGAACCAGCCAGGTGCCCCTACACAGATATTCTAGTATGATTATAAAGGAACACCTGTGGAGTAAATTCCCAAGAGTGAAATTACTGGAGAAAGGGTACATGCATTTTTTTTTTTTTCTGTGTTTGTTTGTTTTAAATAATTTCTCCCCCTCCCTTTTTTTCCGTATTAAGTAATCTCTACACCTGGCATTGAACTCACAACTCGGAGATCAAGAGTCCTATGCTCTAATGACTGAGCCACCCAGATGCCCTGCATTTTTAGTTTCCAAAATGCCAGTACCTTTCTGAATGGTTGTGACCATCTTTTCTTGTCTGTTTACATTTCCTTTCGTGAACTGCCAGGTTGGGTTCTTTGTCCAGTTTTCAATTGCTTTTTCTGTGTTTTTCGTTTTGGCTTATAAAGAATTCTTTGTGTATTAGGAAATTGTCTTTTTCTATGGAGTGTATTATAAGTACTTTCTTCCTATCACTTGTCTTTTTACTTTTTTCAGTGTAATTTTTGCGATAGATAAGTTTCTGATTTTATTTTAAAGTTTTAATTTTTAAAATTATTAAGCTTTTCCTTTTTGGCTTCGTTATGGCTAGGTCATGCTTGAGGCCCTTTCAACTCAGAGAATATAAAAATAGTCACCCTTTCTTAGTACATTCATGGTTTCTTTTTCTGTGTTTAATTCCTTGATTCATATAACAAAATTTATTTTGGTGTAAGGAGTTTCATAGGGAATGAACCTTCCCTTCTCCACCCAAATGGTGGATGAGTTTCCTTAATGCTTTTTCATGACAAGTGATATGGCATGTTAACTGTAGCCCATCTGAAGGTGTCAAACTATGTAGAATACTTTAATAAATGTATAGCGATTGTATTTTAGTTCATGGTAGTTCATCTTTGACACACCACATCCTATTCTTGGGGCATAGGGTATATTTCAGAGTAGGAGATGAGTGGGTTGTTTTTTGTAACTGTCAATAATTTTTTTTAAGATTGTATTTTTAAGTAATCTCTATATCCAATGTGGGGCTCGAACCCACAACCCTGAGGTCGAGTCCCCATGCTCCACAGACCAGACCAGGCCAGCCAGGTGCCCTGATTACAAAAAAATTTGTAATAAAAACCATGTACTAACTAATCTCCCTTGGATTAAATGTCACTCTGGCTTTCTTTTTACAGATTAATGCTGTGAAAAAGACAGTTATACTTGTAAAATAACAAGTGTAAAGCAAGGAAGACCATTTTTATATTGTTTAGAAATTCTTCCATTTCTAAACTTAAATGCTTAGATTTTTGTAAACAAGACTAACTTTCCTTATAACTGTTTGATATAATTCTGGACTTTCTAAAATGAATTAACCTAAAATTAAATTTAAAATCTTAACTTTCCTTTTCCTGTTTATCCTCAGATTATGGATTGGATATGCCTCCTTCTGGATGCTAACTTTACCGTTGTGGTAATGATACCAGAAGCAAAAAGACTACTGTTAAGTCTTTATAAGTTTGTGAAATCCCAGGTGTGTGATTATTTGATACATGCTGAATTCCTTTTGTACCCGAGTATCACTTACATTATAATTTATTCTTAACATTTTTGAATTGGCATAGTTATAAGTAATCGTGGAGGATTTGTTTGTGTGCGGAAGTTACGGTAAAAGTTACTTTGGAACTTTTTTCTTTAGATATGCATTTGCTCCGAGCTCAACAAGATTGAAGTAAGTTTTCGTGAGCTGCAAAAACTAAATCAAGAAAAGAATAATAGGGAATTGTATTCAATCGAAGTACTGGAGCTCTTCTGATACTACCGATTCGCCTTCATAGACGTTTTATGAAGCTCTTTTATGTGAATTCTTCCTGCTCATCCAGGCAAGAGATGTGTTTTGTTTGTAACTGTCTCCGTGACCAGAGAAATGAGTCCTCTATAGTACCTGGACCATCACTGTTGCATTCTTCTGGGTTGGAACATAGGTTTCATGTGAACCTATTTTAGTTTATGGACATTGGTGGGGAGAGGTTCTGAAACTTTTTTTAAATATGTAACTGAGCTGATTTTAAGTGAACTTATTTGTGTATTGATAAAAATCTAATTTCTTACCATGTGTTTTGGTTAGTTCTTCTTTTAGTAAAAAAAAAATAATAATAATAAATGAATAATAATAATCGTAAAAATCACCACTGAAACAGTGACTCTAAGAAGAATGTAGTTTTATCAGAGTCCGAAGCTGTCCTAGCTCATCCGTGCTTGTGGGGGACCGAAGAAGTCGGTCCCATAAGCAGGTGCAGAAAGGTCTGTACAGGCATGTATGTGCCTGTCTTCTGCCAGTTTCTCCTGTCCTTTATCGACTTCTGCTTACCTTCTTTATATGCCTAGGGGTTGAACAGTACCTCCCTCTATTTATTGTCCCTCAGATCATCTTCATGATGAGTAGGTAATTTAGGTTTTTATATTACTAAATAGTAGAAAAGTCTGTTCTGAAAATAGCTTTATAGGTTAGTTGACCATAGAATTTCCCATTTTAACTCTTTGGATTTAGGACAGATGAGGGGTTTTATGTAGATGAAATGGATGCTTTTGTTTCTTGGAGATAAACTCAGGATTTATCTTTGTTAAAAATGAAATCATTCGGGGCGCCTGGGTGGCTCAGTCGGTTGGGCATCCGGCTTTGGCTCAGGTCGTGATCTCGCAGTTTGTGAGTTCGAGCCCCACGTTGGGCTCTGTGTGGACAGCTCAGAGCTTGGAGCCTGCTTAGGATTCTGCACCTCCCTGTCTCTCTGCTCCTCCTCTCTCTCTCTCTCTCTCCAAATTAAACATTAAAGAAAAATTAAAAAAAAAAAAAAATGAAATCATTCTTTCAGGTGATGAATTAAGATCCCTGTAAATAACTTGAAACATTTCTGAGCAATGAAATCTCTGTTGAGTAAATCATATTGAAACCTGTTTTAACTTGAAGAGTTACAATATGTGAAAAACAATTCCTGTAAATTCTAGTGCATAAATATAAGTTCAAATGTGATTGTAGAGCCCAGAGTTGCAGAATTCGGATTGCTTGACTTAATTTGCATCAGAGAGAGGCTTCGCTTTATGTCAGGCACTCCATGTAAACTTTAGTTACAACTGTGACATTTAACAAACAGCCACCCCTCCGTTGTTCTCAATCTGTCTTTAATCCTGAGAGAAAAGACTTACAAAGGTAACAGCGAATGTTAATTGTCACGCTCACTTTACATAACAGGAATTTTTGCTCTTAAAGTGATAGGGTACTTCTCAGCAGAAATAGAAAATCCAGGTTTTCATAGTAGTAGAGTTTCTGTATATGGTCCTTATAAAGTCTTTATTGTAAAGTTTAATAGTGTGGATTTAATATTAGGGAAATTTTGCTGATGCTACATGCTGTAAAATTAGGTTGCCCACAGCCTAAGTCACTAAATTTAAAAATAAGGATTTTATAAGGATATGTAGAGACTTTTTTTCTATCGAAGTATAATTGACAGTAGACTCTTGTAGGCTGAGTCCTTCAAGGCAAGGGTTACGTCTTATCCTTTCTGCACACTAAACACGGGACCATGGGCACATAATTAGTGTTCAGTAGATGGTTACTGAATAAAGTTACTGAATAATGGATCTTATCTGTCCAGCTATTGAGTAAATTCTGAGGTTTGCAGCAGTTAATTTTTCTGGAAACTAAATCCTCTGTGTTTACGTATAGTCAGCGTACCTTTTGCCTTTATACTTACTTTTCATAACCCTAAATTATATCTCAGATTTGTTTCTGGTTACATACTACATCTATAAAAAGAAAAATAATTGTTTTTTAAACTTAAATTCTCCATTTAGGAAGTGATTTCCTGCTGTGAACTTAATGTTTTATCAGGGTAATGTGGACTAACAAATTACCTTTAATACTTGAAATTAGACATCTGTTTGCCTTTTGTCTCTTTAGGTTTCTTGTGAATATTTGGTGACTGTAACTATAGTGGAATCCATTCTGGATCATGTATAGAACTTTTTGGAACTCACGACCCTGAGATCAAGAGTCACATGCTCTTCCGACTGAGGCAGCCAGGCACCTCTGCATCATGTTAGAACTTTAGTATTTTATGTTTATTTTATTTTTTTCATGTATAGAACTTTAAAGCAGGGCGCTTGGGTGGCTCAGTTGGTTAGGCATCCAACTCTTGATTTCAGTTCAGGTCATGATCTCATGGTTCATGAGATTGAGCCCCATGTTGGGCTCTGCACTGACAGGGCTGAGCTTGCTTGGGATTCTTTGTCTGTCTGTTCCCCTTTCGATTGCACCACATCTTCCTGTCTCTTCTCAAAATAAATAAATAAACTCTAAAGAAAGAAAGAGAGGGAGGGAGGGAGGAAGGGGGGGGGGAGGAAGGAAGGAAGGAAGGAAGGAAGGAAGGAAGGAAGGAAGGAAGGAAGGAAGGAAGGAAGAACTTTAGGGGTGCCTGGGTGGCTCAGTCAGTTGGGTGTCCAACTTCAGCTCAGGTCATGATCTTGTGGTTCATGAATTCGGGCTCGCTGCTGTCAGTGCAGAGCCTGTTCAGATCTTCTGTCCCTCTCTCTCCCTGCTCCTTCCCTCTTTGCGCTGTCTCTCTCAAAAATAAATCTTAAAAAAAAAAACAAAGATGGACTTTTTGCCCCAACTCTTTAAAAAAAATTTTAATCCCAAAACAGTTATAAGAAAAAACAATGAATACCCATTTATTGACCTCAGTTTACCTGATAACATTTTGCCATGTTTGTTTCACCACTCTGCATATATTTTTTCTTTTTTTTAAGTTTATTTATTTCGAGAGAGAGAGAGTGGGGAAGGGCAGAGAGAGAGATTTCCAAGCAGACTCCACACTATCAACCCAAAGCCTGACCCAGGGTTCAAACTCACAAACCATGAGATCACGACCTGAGCTGAAACGGAGAGCTGAGTGCTTAACCAGCTGAGCCACCAGGAGCCCCTGTTTGTTTTCTTTCTTTAATGAATCATTTGAGAGATTTGCAAACATCCAGATTAATACAATAATTCAGTTTAATCTCATAAATACATTAGTTTAGTCCTCTAAAACAAGAGCATTATTTTACATGACCATAATTAAATGATCAAGTTCAAGAAATTAATATTAATACAGTACTATTTGGAATGATTACGGTCCTTATTCAGATTTCCACAGTTGTCTTCAGTAATGTCTCCTATAGCTGGACTTTTTCCTTATAAAATCCTTCCAAGGATCTTGCACTGCATTTAGTTTTCATGTTTCCTTAATTTCCTTAGTGCAATTTTGACGAATCTAGGCCAGTTATTTTGCACAACGTCCCTCGGTTTGGATTTATCCTGTTTCACATGATTAGATTCAGAGTAAACATTTTTGACAGGAAAGCTACAGAGACGGCACAGCATCAGGAGGCATTGATGGGACTCGTCCCATCGTTGGTGACGTTAAATTGGATCACTTTGGTAGAGTTTACCAGATTGCCTCTATCTTTTCCCTTTCCCTCTTTTATTTCTTCTTTTTTGAGTGAGGAAGCAAAGGAGGGCCAAAGAGAGAATCCCAGGCGGTTTTCCTGACTGTCAGTGCAGAGCCTGACATGGGACTCGATCTCACAAACCATGAGATCATAACCTCAGCTCAAACCAAGTGTCACACGCTTAACCGAGCCACCCAGGTGCCCCTGTCTTTTTCCTTTGTAACCCCATTAGTAACCTGTGTGTATCTTTGAGACTGTGAATATCTTATTCTGGAATATTCTGCCCAACAATGGTTTTTTGGATCTATTGGTAATTTTTGCCTGAACCAGTTGTTACTTTGGTGGTTGTGATTGCAAAGCTGAAAATTGTTTTGGCATAAATTTCACTTTAAACCGAATGCTGTGCCAATAGCCACCATTATCCTCTCTGCGGTCTGCTTTCTAATCTATAGATGGATGGAGCTGTTTCACAGATTTGAATAGTTATTATCACATTGAGTGTACCATGTGTGGTCTTTTTTCCTTCACTTAATATCTTCATCAAAAGCTATTTTTACCTAGTTACTATGTTTTGATTCTTAAAAGTTTCAGACTCAGAAAACTGTACAACTGAAAAGGCTTACCAGTGATTTATTCCTAAATGTTAAGTGTCTCACGCAGTTCGCACAGCTTTGTACTTTGCATAACTAAAGTGTAACTTTGGATTATACCACCCCACTTCCGTTATACTTACGAGAATACCCAAATCAGTGGAATATTTGGAATGCTTCTGTTTGCTACAAATTTCTTAAGGAAACAAGATTAAATTCTGGATAACTTTTTTGAAGAGTAATCATTTTTTTAAATATTTATTTATTTTTGAGAGAGAGAGGGCGCTCATGCAAGTTGGGGAGGGGCAGAGGGAGAGGAACAGAGTATCCAAAGCGGGCTCTGCGGTGACAGCAGCAAGCCCAGTGTGGGGCTCAAACTCACGAACCGCAAGATAGTGACCTCAGCTGGTCAAGTCAGATGTTCAGTGCTGACTGAGCCACTTAGGTACCCCAAGAAGTCATCATTTTAAATTACCTCCTCAGGACTTTTTATCTCTTAAGAGAGCAGTGTACTACTATTAAAGTGATTTTATATATACATATATATGTAATAATATATATGTATTTTATATATAAATAATATGTATATAATATATAATAAGTTATATGTGTGTGTATATAATTTTGTTTAAGTAGGCTCCACACCCAGAGTAGGGCTTGAACTCATAACCCCAAAGTCAAGGGTCACGTGCTCTACTAACTGAGCCAGCCAGACACCCCTGAAGTGGTTTTAAATAAA